ATAAAATCCCAAACCTAGACGGTGCATAGCCCACAGACCACGCGAAACCCATTGGTCTCTTCATTCGATAAGTGAAGCAACGTTCCGAGTGGTGGCATTTCATTTGTGCTTGCGCTTCCACCTATACTACACCCCAGATGCCGCCGCACAGAGCCAGACTGGAGTCAAACTCAACAGGGTCTTCTCTTTCCCCGCTTAGCCCTTCAAGTCCGTTCCCTTGACTGCCGTTTCGCTAGATAGTAACTCAGGACAGAGGGGATCTCATTAATCCATTCATGTGTGGCCCCAATCGCACCGCAGGGCACCGGACTAGAGCGTAAGGGAACCACACCTTCACTCCAGTCGCTCACACACATGTCGGTGGATATCACCACGCCGGCACTCAGTGCACCCCACAGAGGCCGCAGTGGAGTGATCCAGCAACACAACGGTGTCCTTCCCACCCACAGTGCACACACACAATGACAGTCTCACATGCTCATATCAGAGAGGCACCACGACATTCCCCAAAATGCACACTAAGCCACACACCTACAGCGAGGAGAAGAAAAACGCAAGAAAAGAACAACAACAGGATAGCAACAGCACACAAAGCACCCACAATACAATAATCACAGCTGCCACTCTCATCAGAAAAACATTCACACACACCAGCACATCAACTCAACCCCAAAAAGAAAAAAAACAGACCCATTACGTGAAGCCGAAGCGGAACAGTCTCAGTCCATCTCCCCGCAGGCTGCAGTCACTCAAGCAAGCCAAACAACACACCACAAGAGCAGCAATATCTCCGTGGCAATGCTGTGAGTGACAACACCGAGAGAGAGAAGGTGAGAACAGAGAAATGTGTTTTTATTACGTGGGCGGTGCGAGTAGCAACCCAAACACACAAAGGAACACACAACAGAGGGTCACACTTAAACACCCACAACCCACCAATCTTTATACCAAAATAAAAATGCAAAAAAAGAGTGACTGCGTGAGGCAGACACAATAATAGAGCAAAGATGTAAAAGAAAAAAAAGAAATTCCATTACTTAATGTGACTGCGATGCCTGGACACAGTCCAATCCACCCCAAGGTGAACAACGGGAAATCATTGTGTACTGAACGTGTCGTGCCCATATCTTTATTCTTGATGTCCCTGCAGCAGTTTGTATATAATGAAAAAAAAGAATCATTCCATAAAAATGAACACACAAGATACACAAGGTGTATCGGAAACGCAAAAGAGAAACACACAGCTGCACATAAAACGTGCAATGTAATTACAATGAAATACACACAAGGGAAAAACAATAAAATGAAAACAAAACAAAAAAAGAAAGCCGTGATCACCATGTGAATATCTTCAGGAGGCAAGAACACAATTCCCTGCAGTAGGTGTGTCTGTCTTTCGCACAGGGAGAGCAATGGGAATGATGCACACATGATGACAGTCCACACACACACACAAGGAGAAGGAGTGTCGGTAGTGTGCGTGTGTGTCTTGAACCCCCTGCCATTCTTCACATTTCAGTCACAGCAATTACAACACATTGGGGTTGTATCCCATCCCCACGGGTAAAAGCAATAGTTATTAATATCACGGAACACACACACACATCACCAGGAGGACACAGTAAATGGCGGCAAAACAGAACCCAGATAATGCCAACAAACAAAGAAAGAGGAGACTCCCCTAACAAAATGATGGTTTGTCATGTGATGAGTGCCATAGGAGCCCAATAGATGTGTTCAGCAAAAAAAAGTGTAAATAAGAAATTCATCAAACGGTAAGGCATCATGTAAAAAAAAGGGCTGATATCCAAACAAGAAAAAAGTGCTCTTGCAATGCATTCATGTCCAGTCAAACGAAGGTCAATTGTGCAACTGTGTCATGGGAACACCGATTAGCACACGAGAGCGCTGCCCAGCACCGTCAACAGTAGAAGAAGCAGTATAGATCTGCGCACCAATGAAGGACCGTTGCTACCATCCTTCTTTTTCTTGGCTTTCTCTGCTGCCTGCCTCGCCTCTTCTTCTTTGACCCTTTTCGCTGCCTGTTTCGCCTTTTCTGCAGCAATGCGTTTCGTTTCTTCCTCTCTGGCCTTTTGTGCCGCAGCCTGTCTCGCCTTCTCTTCTTCGTCCTTTTTTTTCCTCGCTTCCTCCTCTTCCATGGCCCTTCTCGCATTCTCTTCTTCAATCCTTCTCCTCTCTTCTTCGGCCTTCCTTGCTTCTTCAGCCCTTTCCGCCGCTTCCTTCCTGGCCCTCTCTTCCCCCGCGGCCTTTCTCTCCGCTTCAATCCGCCTCGGTCTCTCAGCCACCATCCTATAGCTGAAATTCTTGCGCGCAGTTTCCGTAATTTGTTTTCTCCCGACTCTTGAACCTACATTTTCCTCTACCTTGACGCGTTCTGTTACCTTTATCTCTTCGGGCTTGGATGTCGCGTTCACCCTCTTCACATCGAGATCGTCCGGGCAAAGTTTTTTGATTTCGTCAAACATCGCGTTCATATCTATATTTGTAAAAACCGTGGTGTTTAAAGCGCACACCGTGGACTTGACTTGCAAATCAGCGAGTCCCTTCCTCACGGTTTCGATTTCATCGTATTTTGCACCGGCATCAGCGAGTACCTTCATCCTCCCCTCGTCCGCCGAACAACCCTTCTTCTTCATCTCAAGAATCGTGCTATTGTACCAGTCGAGGCCATCTTTGTATCGTTTATGCACGTCAAGCAGGTTTTCATAATACACCCTACTCTGTAGTCTCGTTGTTTTCACATCCGCCGTAAGATTCTCCGTTTTCGCCATTGCATCATTATAGTCACTCATCATCTGAGCGTAACCTTTCTTGAACTCCTGCACCTCTTCGCCGTTGCATTTCAACTTCTTAACCCCAGCCACCTGCTTCCTCGTATCGGTTTCCACGCCATAACGAATGGCTGTAGTATTACCCACGGCGTATATGATGGCGATGTTTTTCTTCTCACACGCTTCCGCTTCTCTCTTCCACAAACTTAACAAGTCCTTACCCTCCTTCAACACCGTATCCGATGATTTGAATTCTGGATCCACAGGCCCTTTCAACGCGGTGTCCATGACGCGCTTGGCATCTCCGAGTTCCTTCTCCTCCCCAGAACAATCAATGTTCGTCTGAGCCACACACAAACATACACAATAGTGCAGAAGTACCAACAGGTACACCACGCGGCGCAGTTGGATGAACATCGTTGACGTGATTGTCGCCGTGGGTTGCTTGGATCTAAGGTAACAAGGAAGAAGAGGAAAAGGAAGAAAAGAGACACACATTTAACACACTGAGAAAGAACAGCGACGCAGAGGGAAAAAGAGTACACAAAACAACGTCAATCAAACAACAACCCAATGAGAGGAACAACAATAAACCACTCACACAATAAAACACACCCAGAGTCACACAGATATTGAAACAACACCTTGAATTTAGAAGAAGTGAAAAACAAATGGTATCAAAACAACATTAAATAAACGTCTCTACACACACTCCAACATCTTACTCGGTATTCCAACACACAAAGTGTGTCTGTATTCTCATTACAATAAAATCATTACCAGACAGTTTGAACACCAAAATACAACAAAAACACAGTGTACGCCCAACATCATCCAAACGGTATCCAAACAGTACGCCACAAATCATCAGCAAAACAAAGAGACTGTACAATAATCAACACACCTCCAAACAGAAAAAATAAAGAAACCAATGCATCACCATAATATTTATACCAACACCACAATTGGAATCCAAAACACACCCACTCACAACCATAAACAAAAATGACTGTATACATCACTGTAATACCATGCCACTCTTTACAAACAGAGGCAACACACAATTACTCTCTCACACACATATTACCTCTTTATTTATCCTTATTACTATTATTTTATTTTTCCCCTCAGAATGCCAATTCACCTCCTCTTCTCCCACAGCATTATCAGCAAAAAAAAAATCACACCCAAACATACACCCCCTTACTCCATGGTGTGCATTAGGAGGATACGATCAAACATATCCCCTTTCCACCCCAACCCCAAAAGGACCCCACACCACCACCACGTTTTTCTTTCTGTTCTTCGTGTCTTTATGGATATCACTCCAATGGTACGGCTATCAACCGTCCACCGTAGAGTACCTTAATTACTGGCTTAAGAGTGGCTCCGAAGAGGAAGACCCCTTTATTTTATAGGATCCTCAAGCTCTTGTAATATGATTTTTGTTGTAGCATTTTCCAATACGAGAGAACCAGTCTACGAGAAATCTGATCGAGTAAACCCTACCAGATCTCTCTACTCTCACTGTTCTTACCCAAAACCCGTCCTCAAGTCTCCTTTTTCTATTATTTTTGTTATTTTTGGGTTTTTGTAATAGATTGGCCTCTATGAACTCCTATTTATTTTCTTGCTTTTTTGGTCGGCGACAGACGTCTTGAGCTCAGTCTTCTATCAGGGTTTCCATATTCGAGCTCGTCGCTGATTTTAGAGGGGTGGGGAAAGTGGGCTGCGTAGGGTTTCTTGGTTGTGAAGTCTGTGGCATAGGGTAGTTCCGCTCCACCGCAATAAGGAATTGGGCCAACCGCTTATAAAAACATAGTTTCATAAGGGGTACATCATCAACTATCGCAAATTGAACTCGCAGTGGGTGAAGGTAAGTGCAACCCAAGAGATGCAGAGCTGTTTCTTCGCATCCGTCACGTTGGCTGGTGTGCGCGCGAGTAGGCTGATACCCGTGACGTGACATTCGGTGTAGAGTTAGGCCTCACTTACTTATACACATTGACGACCACATGAGGGGCAGAGTAATGCCGGAAGGTCTCTTGTTTTCCTTGGTTTGTATTTTGCAGTGTTGGAATTCGTTTTTGGGGGCAGCCCCTCTCCTTCATGGAATTTTCTGCAGTGTATTACGAGGGAGTCTAGGTGTGCGTAGAACTTCTGGCATACTCCGCATTGGACTTTCTCTCTGTTCTCACGCTCCGGTGTTGGCGACGTATCTCGCTAGCGTTTCTTATTTCGCGGAAAGGTTACTTGCATTGTTGCTGGCAAAATTGGGGTTCCAGGAGGATGTTTAAACTTTTTGTGGCAGGCGAGACCACCAATGTTGCCAAAGTCTCGTAGACAAAATTCGCAGCGTAGTGAGGCAGGTTGGGGGATTAGTTGAACTTTGGGTGCGTCTTTTGCGGGGTTCTCAGGATGTTTTGCTCTAATATGGGATTTGGGACCTGTTTTAGATCGCGCTATCATATCACATTTGTCACAGGGAAATGCTGATTCTTCTGGAATCGGTTCGTCGGCTCGCGGGCGCTTTCTCTCTGGGACAGGGCATGTGACATTGTGCATGTATCTAAGGTGGCCCGTTAATCCATTTTGAAGCGGAAATGTTCGTTTACACATACTGCCGGCAAACGGGTGGGGTTTTGCTTTAGTCGAAGTGGGACGGGGTAACGTTGTGTCCGGAGGTGGCTCATGGGGGAATTTGATCTTCCAGAGCGCATCGACTCTCTTGAACCCATGTGTTTGTTGACCATATGTACTACTGCGGTGTTCCTGCATGAGTATTGTGCCCCGCATTCAGTGCAGGTGGCGGGGTCTGTTGCTTTGTTTAGGGCATAGTGAGGTCGTTTTTGGCTAGGTGGAATAACGGGTGTCGGCGTACTGACTTTTTGGGGATTACACCATCGACAACCAGGGGGAATATGGGTTTGTATCTTTCGCAGCAGCCAGCCATAGCGATGCGAAGCGCCTGTGCGAAAACGTGCTAAGGCTGTTTCTTCTTCTCTAGTAAGTTCCGGATTATCTTTGGTGGGGTCCCAGGATCCAGTGATTTTTAATCTATGGGAGGGGGCATGCCCACTCCTTTATGCATTTG